GCAGTAAGAGGTCCCGCACCATAGAATAAAATTATGGAACGTTGTTTTTTTTTAGGGATTTAATCAATACATATTACTCTTTAGAGTTCTGTCAAAAATTAATTTTTGAATATTAATCACTCGATATTTGGGAATTTAATGACGTGTAACAAACAATTCTTTCGTACGGCTGTAAAAGGATCATTCAAAAACGTGAAATGGATTTTAATAATGATGGTATCAGCAGTGGTAGTTCGCAACAAACACACAAATCACATCCAGATGCATATCACACAAGTAGAATATTAGATGAAGAGATTGCTAAATCTAAAAAGTTATACAAGTAATGACAGTTCATTAAATAATCTTGATTGTAACTCTTTTTTCTAAAATGCGAATATAATGAGGGGTTATTTGTATTTTTGAAAATTGGTATGTATAAATTATAGATTGGAATATATTAATTGTGGAATGGTGTATATATATTTTGTAGTCGTGATTTGTGTTTGTATATGTTTATATGCCCTTTGTAGAAAATGCTAATTTTTTTTACGACTCAATATCATATTTCGTTGGAATTCTAGAAACCCTAGATGTTTTTTGACAGACTTTAACTAATTGTGACATCACAGCGCCTACTTTTATACTCTTGAAAGAAATCTAAATTTACAAAAAATTGTGGTTTTCATAATTGTGGAATCGCGCAAATTTGTTATTATATTAAAAATTATAATTCAAGTAAAACATAATAATAAATAATCAAACAAATACCCCTTTTATGTATGACTGTTTGCAAGAACTATTGAAAAAAAAGGGATTTTATTTAAATTTTTTGGTATAAGTACTTCGATTGATTTATTTTTAAATTAATATAATTATTAACTCAAAAAAAAAAAACATGCACTCATCTTCATTTTTTATAATATTATTAAACATATTGTTTTGTGGGGTAGTCTTTTCACAAACAGTGTTGACTAATCCTTATAGTAATGTTAGTATGCCAATAAAGGAACATAATGCACTTCGAAGTTGTTATGTTGCTTGTGATGCTGACCAACTACACCACCAGGGTTTCTTCACGCAAGCTTATTACTATTACTATTACTATTAATAGTGGGATTTAATAATAATAAATAAAAATGATGGATACTTGTATCATTTTTTTATAAAATCTTGCGCATGCATTTTATTTTTTTTCGTTTGTTTTTTACAAACAGTTAATAAATATATAAAACTAGGTGAATGCTTTATGACAGTGACTTAGTCACTGGTGTTACTTGTTATTTATTGTTTTAAAGCTTCTATTCAAATAAAGGTTATTATTATTTGAATTGTTTGTAATCAATTGACTGAATTACAAATGCACATTATTATCACTAATAGAATCCTATAAGAAAAATTTCTGGCCTTTGACAAAGTTAAATGATTTTAATATTCTTTTTGTTGTGATACTGAAGGATGATGTGATGAAAGGTTTGCTATGCCACAATTATAAAAGATTTCTTTAAATGTTTTTGTTTTGAGATAGCTCAACAAATTTTTGATCAAATGCCATCACCGAAATTTCACATGCATATAGAAGTTTAAAGCATATATATTTGGAAACTGCTAATATGTAAAAATAATGTTATCTCAATATATAAATAAAATAAAGAGTAATAGTTATTTGAAGTTAGTCCCAAATTCTTCTCCTCAAAAAAAGGTAGACAGCTCATTGGCATAACCAAGTCTTTATCAATCTCATTCATTGTCTAAAACAATTACAAGTAGATAAGAATAGAGAGGATAATGTGTATACAAATCATGGGATACCAATATATCAAAACAAAGAATATTTTTATTTTTAAATAATAAAATTATTTATAGATTCGGATCGATTTGATTCGAATCAAAGCACTTATTCGAACGAACCGAATCAGAAATTTGGTGATTTGAATTTCATTGATTAATTCGGAGCCTCGTGAAATTCACAAGAATTTTTAATTCGTAATAAATTAAAAACCGGTTTCTATATTAATATTAATATTAATATATATTAATATAGTATATATTTTCTCGCGCTTCTAAACATTCTGCAAAAAATCATTGTCATACAAATAAAAAATTTAGTGAAACATAGATTTTTATTATATGTTGTATAACCATTAAATGTGATAATACACCTTGGTTTTTGCGCAATAAAAAAAATGGGTAACGATCATTACAAAATCTAGATTAGTACTAGCCAACGGAATCAAATGCCCATTATGCTTACTACTTTTGTTATTGTACAACAAAC